TCTTCGTTTACTTTTTCTCTTGTAACTTCTCTTAATTTGTGAGGTCCAAGAACTTTACTTTGTATTTTCTCCGTGCATGTACAATCAGACAAGTGAAAAGTCCTGTGTGAGATAGGAGATACAGAAATTTAAAAAAAGAGTACAGTGCAACATAGAAATGTAGAGCTAGATGCTGTAGTTTAGGAAGTGTCTTGTCGTTGGCTGCATGTTCCTTCGTGAAAAATTTCATGTTGTAGGAAAATTTTATTTTTTATTACTATAATTTTTCTTTTTCTTTGTAAGTGGCTATAATTCCTTTTGGTAAGGTCCTTGATTTTAACAGGAAACTGCATTCTCTGTATTTGTTCTTTTTTTATAAGGCTTCCTATATGTACTGAATATCTATCGATCTTTTAGAGCTGTCAAGAACAATACAGTGAGAGTTGCCACATGAACAATACAGTGAGAAGAGGCAAATCGCTTCTGGCATTGCCAGACAAAATATGATGTAATAATTTACAGCTACAACTTTATACATAGGAGGAAAGGTCAATGCATTTAGTGTGATTTTATTGGTAAATAAAGGTGATATATTACACGAGAATTAATATTAAAGGGGAAAATTAGCTGTCAAACAAAACAAAATTTAATATATACATTGAATTATATGAGATTTACAGCATATAATAATCGTTTTTCAACGTTGAATACTTGGATACAACTAAGTAGCCAACTACCAGGAACTTGATTTTAACTGTTGATAATTCGTCCATTTCTCGTCCTGTCTTCTGAACAAATCATTTTGTTGGTTTGCTATTAAAGGCCTGAATACCACCAGAACCAGACACTTGTATCTAAGAAACAATTGCAAACTTTGGTCATACATATATACCACGCTGTGATTTAAAGAATGCTCACCATCTAAAATTTGTCTCCATGATTCAAGAATGCTCCACATCTAAAATCTGTTTCCCTATTTCCAGATCCTGATTCTCTTGTTTCAAGTTTGTGAAACTGCTTCAATTAATGGTCAACATTCATGAGCCCTTAAATTATGACTTGAGATCCCTTCTTTTAATTTGGAGATCAGAAACAAGAACCATTTTTCCTGGCTTTTCCTCTGAGACACCATTTCAGAACTGAACTGACTAGGAAATATAGTTCTGCCCCTTCTGTTTTCCTTGAATGGCTAAACCCAAGATGTAGTACTATCTTTCAGAGCTTTTCTTTGCCTCAGCTTAATAAAGGCGTCAAGAAAAAAAAAGCATTTGGATTCCCAAGCTGCAGAGAAGTTACCCCATGTCCATACTGTAATTGATCTCAAGAGGGTAAATTTCTCCTTAAACAAGCTGCAACACTTTAATACATCCACTTGAATTTGCAGCAACAACCGTATCCGATTTCCCTCGCCAGCAGACACTCGACACAAACAGTCCATTGTCATCATCAGTCTCTCTCCCCGATATAGGATCAATGGAGCCAAACTTGTAGGAGGTGATAGGCATAGGTAAAGACCTATAATAAGCATAAACCTAAAAAGAAACAGCACATCCAAAAGTTCAGAGTATTTGCAAAACTTTGTGGGGAGAAAAAGTATATCTGCAGTGGTGGAAGGAACTCAAAATTTGTCCTTTTTTAATGTGACCCAGAAGAAACTTCTAATTTCAATAAATGTGAAAGAAAAAAATATGCATACCTCATTTGTTTCTGAACCACATGATATATAACCATCAGCAACTGACAAACCAACAAAGTTCTGGAGGATAACAGAGACAATTCAGGTTAACCAAAGAAGAAAGAAACTGGTTAGATTCTCTAGATACAGGGAAAGCAAGAGCTATATTCTAGAATTCAGACACAAACCTTCTCATTAGTATGTCCGCTAAGAGTTAGACTGCAAGCATTGGTTGAAAGGCCATTATAACTGGTTTTCTTCAGATCCCAAAGCTTTAATGTGTTGTCGGTGGATGCAGTAACAAGAGTTTCATGGTCCAAGAATTTTACATAGCTCACAGCTTTGTCATGGCCAGCCAATTTACACCAAGGGGCTTTCAGATTTCGAAGATCGTAGCAATAGGTTATGTAATCTGCACACCCAAATGCGAGCAAATGAGTGGAGTGAGCAGAGAACTGAACACAGCATACATTTGCAATGTTCCTCATCGTGCCTATGCAGTTTCTCTGCAATGCAAACATGAAAAGAAATAACATTGCATCAGCTTTAATGCTGCTTGAAACAAAGCTTTCAAGAATTCTCAAGGAGTAGAGGAAAGAGGCATATTATACAGGAGCGTCAAGACGAATGTTAGGGAAAGACAATTTTAATGATAGGGTTGTTTATAGTTTGCTCAGGGCCAGACCCTTAAATTGATTCATCCCAGGCTTAATTAATTCAGTATGGTCTTTATTTCTTTGTAGACTTATGTCCACTATGATCCGGTCCAAATCTTTATTATTTTTAAATTTTTATTACTTGTTTAAATGTTAACTTTATGTTAGTTTATAGTTTTTCTTAGTTTTATAGTTTAAAAGAGTTATGCAAAAATGTCCCTTTCAAACCTCGAAAGAACAATTTTTTTGTTAGGTCCAACTGGATCCAATTTGGGACAGATGAAGAATCCTAAATTGCTACAAAATCATTTTTATTGTGATAGATATAATGCAATCATCAATTACTTATTCTGCAAATAGTAAGAAAAACCAGCCAAGGGCAGTTTCCTGCAGTCCTACTAGTTCCCTCCTACTTAAATCATCCCCCTTCTAAAGAATTCATGGATGCAAATAATTAATGTTTTTGGAATAAAATACTTATTCAAAGGAAAAAAGATGTCTACAAGATAAGAAACGATGTGCACTATGAGCCTTATCTTTGTTTTCAGATTATTTATTTAGATAATTAATTCGGAAAAGACTAAGACTAAAATGATAATGTGTTCTATGAGATTTCAGAATTTTTCTTATTGCATTTATAATGCCAAGAGAGAACGTGCCTCATTAATGTTCCACAGTTTCACGGAACAATCATCACTTCCACTGGCTAATTTCGTAGGATATGCTTGAGAAAAGTCAACAGACCAAGCCCTCTTTTCGTGCTCAAAATACTGCAGAACTGCCTGACCAGTGCTTACATCCCATAACTGAAGTAATCAAAGTAAATAAGTTAGAAAAAGTAGGAAATATCATGAACTGATTATTAGGAGACATATTCGGAGAAGAGAATTCATGAAAATGTGTAAATGCATATAATTAGACAGCAAATTTAGGGAAAAATGCAAACCTGCAACACAGAAAATTAAAATTTTCTCTGTCAAGGGCTCAGGTATTGTGAAGTTTATCTTGAGACACCTATCCCTTCAACATACACAGACCACTGTCTTAACCACTGTCTTAATATAAAAGAGAGAAAAATGTGGAAACAGTTCAGATGAGATAGAGATGTAGGGGCTCAAAAACGGTAATGGGATAGTTGAGATAATTTAGGAGAGCTAGTGAAATGAGAAACATGGGAGTTGACAGAAAAGGTTATGAACATTTAGTCATCTAGAAGAATTTATTTTATCCTAATTGCAGAACCAGTCATTTATTTCAAGGGTTCTTGTAATCTCACCTGAGCTTGTTTGTTCAATTCACTTTCTTATCTAGTATCATAAATAATCAGAGTAAGACAAACATAATTAGTAGGATGCAAGAGTAAGTGGACTCCAAATGAACACGTGGCTAAATTTGGAAGTATTCCAATTTTGCACAAAGCCGGGGAACTCAATACTAGATGTTATTTGGGCTTGATAGTATTAAAGAAGAGAGAGACAACAACTATCATGGTTAACTAATTTTCCTTCTTTAGAGGTTTATATATACATATATATATATATATAATGACACACTCACACACAAATAGAAAGAGAGAAGAATGCCTATGGATTTAAAAATAAAAATGTGACCCTCTATCCAGAGCCATCCATGCAACATGCATTATTAATAATAAATTATCATTTTCATTTGTTATTTTTCCATTATAATTAAGGAAAATATTGCACAAGAACTAATTGTCATCAATATAATTAATATCATTTTAAATTTTCACATTCCTTTAGATAAACAATCGTAAACCAATACGATTCTAGTCCTAAAGCATATTTTGTCTTCAAATTTATAACATTTTTAACTTAAAAATTTAATCTTAACTATTACTTTAAGAAAAAATACTTTCATATAAGTTAATAACTAAAAGAACAAGAAGAAAAAAAACACCTATTCTAAGTTGATAAAAAAAAACGTAGATATGTAGCCGTATTGCAGGAACTTCCAACATAAATCAAGTTTTGGAGCAAAAATAGGTGATTGACATAAGATTCACAGGATAAGTATATATGATTTCCAGTTGATATTCAGTTAGAATATCAAAGAAAGAATGCTGAAACTGTGATAAAACTGTGCACACAATGTCAGAAAATCGACGACCAAACATTATAATTCGTCTTTCAATAAATTTCCTTAGTGTTGGAGATAATGTACCTTGACTATTCCATCATAATCAGTAGAAGCCAGATAGTTCTTGATATAGTTGTTCCAGCAAATACAGCTAAGCTTTGATGCATTTGATATTTCAATCACAGGATAATGAATGTCAACAGAGTCATTAAAAATGGCATTGAACTCAAATATTTTTATCTTCTTTGATACTCCAGCAGCAGCAAAATAGTCCTCATCCCGGTCAAAACCCAGAGAGCAGATGACATTTGCAGAATTGTTGAACTCTGCACTTCTCAGTACACCACGTACCTCAAACTTACTATAACGGGCATACTTGCATAAACCATCAAAGAAGGCTCCAACTTGGTCTTTGGGATTCTCTATCTCCCCATCCACTTGTGTCAAATAAAAGTTGTCACGATTTCTCAGTAGATCTCTATCTGAGCGTATCTTAGTATCGTTCTCAGTCAGATGGATTTTAGATCTCATGGACAAGTAAGCACTTTCAAGCTGATGAATGTTTTTCATCAACTGTGCTTCATTTGCACTAGAAGTAGGGAATAAATGAGGAAGTGCCTCTGAACTCATAGCACTCTTGAAGTGCCCATTCTCCATTTGAGTAGTGGAATCATTATGCAAGAAAGAACTAACCATGGGTTTTTCAGTACCATGCCTTCTCTCAACTTCTTCAATATCTGCTTCTAAGCATTTAATATCTTCTACTAGTTTGGAGGTGTGCTTCTGTTTTTGTTCTTTCAATAAAATAAGGAAATGTAATAGAAGTTCCGATTCTGCATCATCTTGGTCAATAGCTGACAACATTTTTTCTGCAAAGACCTCCTGGAATCCATTAACTACTTCAGATTGGAGGATTTCCCTGTTATACCATTAAAAATCATAAGGTTAGAATATTAAAGGCACTGGTGCAGAATTCTATCTATATCTTAACTTCTTGCCAAAGAAAGCAAAAAACAAGTAGTAACTTAGTTATTACTGAAAAGAGAGGTAACCAGAAAGAGTGAGCAATATATATTACCCAGAAAAGGTTAACAAAGCGAATAAAGAAAGGAACCAACACTTAAGGATAAACATTGACTTCATACATTTTCGGTCTCGTGTGTGTACTTAAGAAATCTAAGAAGTTAGTGAATGCCTAGGAGTTAACATCATAATCCTCCTTTTATTTTTATTATTGTAATTGGTCCTTACATTGCTACTTGGATCAGTTAGCACCAAAAATTTGCAAAATATATCAAGTAACACATTGAGACAACAGAATTTTTTGTTTTAGCAATTTTTTCTCAAGAGTATTTTAGTCATTCTTAACCATATTTTGTACTCAATTTGTTGTGAACACCGAACAAGAATCACAATTTTTTTTCTTCAGCTCTTCTGGTACTACATGATATATATTGTAATTTGTTGGAGCTCTAATTGATTCAAACACAATGAGCAGTTAATGACAACAGAAGGGAAATAAAATTCATATTTCAAGGGTCAACAAATTCTAGCAATAAACAGTGGCTACTTATCTCCAGAAATTATATATTCTGTTGTACATTCTATTGGAGCATCGAGGTGGACTTTTCCTGAATAGGCCCTATGACATCATGGCTTCCTCCCAGAGTTATGGTTTCTTCTTTCAAGATTAGAATCGTCTTGGATGGTTCATCTAAAGGCTATTGATACCAAAACTTTAAAGACCCTGATTTTAAAGAGGGCAGCATGATAGTTTCTGTGCTTCATACTTCAGTTTGAGCCCTCTTTAGTTGCTAGGGCTTTCTGATGGGCAAAGTTTCATCTTTGAATGGCATGCTAAAAGTTGCAAATCCCAACATGCAAGTACACTGGAAAATTTCTACATCTTGACAATTATCAGAGAAAGAGTGCGGCATCACCTAGTAGTTGGGCGTGATGAAGGTTCAGGATGAAGTAGCCAAAGGCAAAATCCAGCTTCCTTGGGATTTTCTGATAGCAAATTTGGAGGGAGGATCCTGTGACGTAAATCTGACATTGCAGCAGTATGTTCTCTTTCACTGTCAAATTTACCAAGTAACTGCAACAAAAAGCAAGATGAATTCATTAAAACAAACAGTTCTGTTTGTTCCTCACATTCAAACCACAAAAATGTTTGAGCAAATTAACCATTACTCTGAAACACAGCTGATAGTTGTTACCCCATCTAATTATATGATTACATCATAAATGGAAACATGACTGAATCATCAGTTAAGTCCAAGGCTCTAGGAAACACAAGGATAAAAGCAGCAAAAATTAATAAATCCCCAAAGATGAGCAAAATTAATAACAACTCGACACCCCCCCCCCCCCCTCTCCAAAAAAAAAAAAAAAATTCAGTCCGTTCTTTTAATTTGCAAGGATATTCTACAATAAATTCTTTGCTATTTTAGAGTGTTTTGAAAAAGAAATTTTCTTTCCAAAGGGGGTAGACTTACTTTGATTAAAAGTACGTTGGCCAATTTACCGATGTATTACCTCTCCATTTTAACCATTCCGGCCAGCATAGTAAAGAAACTTGAAAACATTCAATGCAGATTCTTTTTGGGTGACGTGGAGGGGAATAGAAAATATCATTATTTATTAAGGTGGGAGGAGGTAAAGAAACCGTTGTGGGAGAAGGGGCTTGGTTTAAGGTCCATTAGTGAATTCAATAACGCTCTTCATGGAAAATGGTTATGGAGATATCTTATGGAGGAGGGGAGGCTATGGAGGAGGGTCGTGCATGCGAGGTGGGGGGATTGGGAGAAGGAGAGGGGAAGAAGGGGTAGATTCAAACCTCATGGGAGGAGTTGTTGGAAGAAAATCAGGGATGACAGCAATGTTTTCATGGGCTGTGTGGGGTGGCAGCTTGGAAATGGTGAGGATATTAGTTTTTGGGAGGATGAATGGATGGGTAGTTTTAAACTTAAAGATCATTTCAAAAGAATTTTTGAGATTGCCAGTGATAAGGAGGCGAAGGTGAAGCACATGTACAAAAATACGGGGGAAGGGAAGACTTGGAATGTGAAAGTTACAACGAATCTGCAGGATTGGGAAATTAATGAATATTGCAACTTGCTGTTGGCTTTGGACAGCATGAAGGTGAAAGAAGCAAGAGATAAGAGAGTATGGAAGCCTGATGAGAAAAATGGTTTTTTGTGAAATTGATGTACAATCTTCTTGACACAAATGCTGGAAATACTATCAGTTCAGCTCCTTTCAAAAAGATCTGGAAAAGTGGGATTCCTCCTAGGATGGCTTTTTTTTATGTGGGAAGCCGCTAATGAATGCAATTTGACCATTGATATGTTGAAAAGAAGAGCTAACACCACGGTTAATAGATGCTAAGTGTGCAAATCCGACGAGGAAACCTGCAACCATCTACTTTTGTGGTGCCCGACAATTTACAGCATTTGGTACACAGTATTGGGTCTGCTGGGATTATGTTAGGTTATGGCTGAAAATGTGAGTAAAGAGTTGTGGGTGCGGACAGGGTATTGGAAGAAGAAAAAATATTTGTTCCTTATACCACTAACTATTTTTTGGATTGTGTGGAAGGAAATAAATGCAAGAACTTTTGATAACATAGAGACTAACATTACAAAAATTAAAAATAGGTGGATCTATACCTTTGGTTCTATTTTGTTAGTTCATGACATTAAAGATTATGATGCTTTTGGGTAGGTCATGGACTACTTAATAGAATTGTAATATATACTTTGTACATGGGCGGTACTCCCTTGATACTTTTGTGAACAATATTTCTTATCTGATAATTTAAAAAAAAATTCTACAACGAATTTTTTCTAAAACTTCCTCTCTGCAGTAAATCCATAGAAACCCTGACCAATATGCATGTATTATCCACTCATGTATGTACAAGCATGGGTAAGTATATAAATGTGAATAATATTATACATAAATATAGAATCATACATTGATTGGAACCCAAAAATAAAAGATTGTCTCATCTAGATGAACAATAGAAGTCTGTTTAGTTGCCAAAAGAAATTAGTTAAATTGAGGAAGAGATTCAAAGCATATATGTCCATAGTTTCTCTTAAACAATCTAAGATGTAGGTGATTTTATAAATCTGGATCTTCCACACTGCAGATTTCCAATCATGAGATAACAATGTATTAACTTTGATGTTTATCAGATGCAAATTGCGAACACAGAATTAAAGCTACAGACTGAGAAACTAAAGCCTGGACCAAAAAGGGAAATACAATTTTACATAAATCAAACAGAAAGAAAAATCTTGTCTCGCTAAAGAGCTAATAATTTGGATGAGGAATCCAACTACAATGACAATTGAGTATCTTACCATAGAAGAGTAAAATCATGCACCATGATATGCATGGAACATACTAATATAGGAGTCACTGTGTTCAACAACTTCTTCACATATACTACAGGATGATTTGAGCAGGATAAAGAAGTGATTATGGAGATTATACATAAGACACAAAAAGAACTAGCTGTTTTCAAACCTCAAAAAGAAGAACACCCAGACTATAGATATTCGATGAGATCATGCAGACTCCTTCGTTGAGCTCCTCGGGACTTGCATACCACTTCTCTTCTAATTGCTCACTCTTGCAGGTCAATAGCTGTGCAGCTGCATTTGGCTCCTGAAGGCTTCTGGAATTTCTACCCAATCCATGTTCAGCACTTGTTTGACATTCATTAGACTTACTAAAAAAATTTCCAGTTATGTTACGATCCCTATCATTTGCTGTTTCAATTTTGATGCCAGATCGTGAAAATAGAGGCCACTTCCTAAAATTTGCGCTCTCATTGAACTTCGGCCTCTTTGCAGAGGGAGATACCACATACTCTACTGGGTTTCTCCTAGTCAGACGGTCTTCAGCGTGGGAAATATTTTTTTCGGTAATACCATCTGATAACCCTCTCTGGAAACATGAACCGATGTATTTAACCTGATTTGCTTGGAGCAACTTGAAACTAGACGGCCTTAAGTCATGCAAGGCAACCTCTTGGGAGTGAGAATCATCTAGAAGATCCACTATTTGTTTAAATATATACAAGCACTCAGCTTTACTTGCTTTATTGTGCTCAGCTTTCAGCCAATCTCGCAAAGTCATTCCCTCATGCTCAAAGCCACTGGACCTGGTAGAAACAATATCACAAGAGGAATGGTTACATGTCTTGGCAACTAAACTCAGTGAAGCATTAGAAGCAACCACAGGCCCACCAGTACCCTTTACCAAGGCATTAGAAGTCACATTAGGACCCACAGCAGTCTTTATATTATTCTGGTCCCCAAGATCAGCTCTAAAGACGTTAGGGGATGGAGCTCTGCATATGATTCCCTTTCCTTTCAAAGCAGTTTTGACGAAAAACTCAGAAAACCCTGATTTGGATAGAATCTTTGTCCTGATACCTCCATGAGGCAATATATCGCTTGAAACTGCATGGTTTTCACCAATCATTAATTGTTCTAATACTTCATTGTTGTCAACTTTTGATGGTTTTTTGGACAAAAACTCAGGGAAGGACGTGTATCCCACATTCTGCCGGACATTCGGCATTGCCCAATTGCTATCCCTGTCACTAAGTGAACTCCCACCAGCTGATCCCCCCACCAATTGGTAAAGATGCTGCCATTGGTTCTGCCTACTTTGTATTTTCTCCCTATTGTTCAATGTACCAACTAAAGCCAAGTTAGAACCATCATAATTTTTCACAGTCAACTCCTCAACAATGGTACCTGCATCGTCCACTGTATGACTGATAATGCATGCATTTTCTGATGTACCCACAGTGTCCATATTTTCATTTAAATTCTTACATTCCAACATATCTGCAAGCACATGAAATGAGCTCTCAGGAGAGTTTGCTTCAGCCCGAGCAGCCATTTCCTGGGATTCCACCCCGTTGCAGTTTTCGGGTTTGAGTGAATATTCATTTTCTTTGCTCCGGAAGTGAGCACCCTCAACTGCATCAATTGAAGTGATCTCGTCACCCAGTCCTTCATCCATACCATCCATAAAAAAATCCTTCCATCAACTGCACATTTTCCACTGCAATTGTAATTGTTTCATTCAGAAACTAAATGTCAACAAAGAAAGAGCTCAAAAACCATAATATCATCTATATAGCAAGTTCACGATCACAAGAGCAACTAGATTTCCCATGGTTCAATAGCACTAAACGATCATGTAGAATGAATCCAACTCAAATATAGAAAAATATTAAAGCTTGCAGCCCAGACCGTTGAAATAAACCAGTTCCCTACCCCCAAAAGGAAAAGGGTGGTGAACAGAAGAAATCCACCGGCTTGAAGATGCAACTGGCAACACAAAAAACAGATTAAAAGCAATAAAAATTTTCATCTTCCATAAAATATTTTATTTCCAAACAAAGAGACTAGAAAATAAGCAAAACTTCCGTATCAAAAACATTACTGACTTTCCTCAAAAAAAAAAAAAAAAAAAAAAAAAAAAAAGGTCGCGGGCTGGATTTCACTTACCGCAATTGGAAATGTCGGAAAGTTGAAAAAACCGGAAACTTCCGGTCCTCTTCTCTACTCAAGTATCTTCTTTGCCGTTTGGCAGCTCTGAAAATGCGGAAACGGAAATTAAAACCTTCTCGTGTAGTAAAAAAAATTCTCTATCCTTACGGAGAAACCAAAACATGCTCTCCAATCCATCCTAATCAACATCAATCATAATATAGGAGTTTCTCGTCTCCCATTTTATACGTGACCAAATAGAAGCTGAAATTAAAATTAAAATTAAAATTAAAAAGAAAAAAGATAATTGAAGACAAGTACATGGCGTACCAATAGTTACCCGAGAGGAAGCAATTTTTACGCCGACTATGGGAACAGTGAAAATTTAAGCAGAGATTGAAAACCCTAGAAACCCCTGACCAAGAAAGTAAAAGGGGAAAGAATACAAAGTCTTCCAGCGTTACCTGAAATAGAAAAAGTTTCCCTTTTTTTTTTTTTTTTTTGAAAAAAGATTTAAGGTTACGTCGCTCTGAAGAATGTAAAGATTTTTTGGTTTGTCTGTGTGTTTTGGGGGTGTGAATTTAAATAGGTTTTGGTTGAGTCACCAGATTTGAACACTCAGGAGGAACCGGTTATCAACGTTTGGTGTTCATACCAGATTTATTTATTTATCTTTTTTATATATTTATGAACGGATATTGAAAATAATTCTATCTAAAGAGTTCCGTAAGTTCAAGGTATCTCCTGGAATGCCATTCAATTACTTAGCCACCTCTGACATCCTAATTTCAATATATATATATATATATATATACATGCTAAAATACATTTTATATTAAATTAATCTTTACATTTTTTAAAAAATTCGAGTTATTGATGATATATTGTGTCACATATCACATAATTATTTTTTTTTCCTTTGATGTTATATAATATTTGATGTAATAAATATTTTAAATAATATTTATATTATTTTAAAAAATAAAAGATATAAATCATTTTCACTCGTTATCTTTCATTCTTATTTTTGTCGGACGGAAAAATAAATAAATAATAATAATAATACAAATTTCATAAATTGTGAAGGAAAAAAAGAAAAAAAAAAGTAGAAAAATATTTTCGCGAATAGCAATTACAATTACAGTGATATTACAAATTCCAGGTATTCTCTTAGAGGACTCATCCCTCCCAATCAACTAGGTGCGATTGGATCCCCGTGGAAGAAGAAGCAGTGGCGGCAATGGCGTCCGGTGTATTTTGGTAAACCTTCTTCTCAGGTTTCTTCCTAGGAGAAAAGGGAGGGCCTCTGATCAATGAAACACTTGGGAAAGGATAATTTTTCTAATTAGAGGAGGCTCTTAGACGAGTGAAAATTGGGCAAAATTGTAAGAGGAAAACGAAAATGCATAGAGAAATTTGTAAGAAGAATAGGAGTTCTTATTCAAAAAGAAATTAGAAAAAAATCTAAGTAGCAAGTTCTTTTTTTTTTTTTCTTAATTCATCAAAGTGTGTGATAAGAGCTGGTGGAGAAATTAGATTGAATAAAATTCTAAGATTTGTGTATAAAATATGTCATTGCAAATTTATATATATATATATATTTGTACTTTTTTTTTTAAAAACAATTTTATGAAATTTACGTCCCTAATATTTGTATTTGGAGGGAAGAAAGTAAGAGAAATGAGAGAAAAAATTATTATTATTTTTTATTTTTAAAATAATTTAAATATTATTTAAAATATATACATTTTAATATAAAAAGTTAACCAATCAAATAATATTAATTGTCCAAATTAGTGACACACAGTAAAATCATTAACAATGTTATTAACAATTTATCAAGATAAGCTAATTTAAATATTTTAAAAATACATACACTAATTTAACGCAAATTAAATTCGTGAATAAATTAAAAAACAAATAAATTCTACATGAGCTTTTAGCCTGCATACATACATATATATATATATATATAACTTTTTTTAGTTGAGCATTTTTAAAAACATTTATAGCATTCGTCTTAGATAATTTAAAGTTGTGAATAAGCGGTACATTGTATTAAAAACAAATAATCTTTTAATAATTGAGTTTATGATGACTCTTTATGATTGTAAAAAAAAAAAATAGAAATAAATAACTTTAGTCACTTTTAAAAAATTAATTTACATAAAATAAAATTTATTATAAATGATATTAATCGATATTTTGATCTATTCTAAAAAAATGTTTAATATTTATTATAAAAGAAATGTGTATAAAAAATTAAAAATAAAAATAAAGAATGATAAAAGACATGATTTGGTTATTACCAATACGAAACTTTTTTAATAATTTTTTTTTTTTTAAGAAAAAATAAAGATAGTACATAAATACGAAGACAAGATAGGATAATAGTTGTATGATTTTATTAATGTTTATACGGTTATACAATTAATCATACACCAATTTAATCATGCTATTTTAAAATCTTTCTAAAGAAACGTATTTAGGTGGTAGATACTCTTATGATACTTCAAATGGTAACATATTGTGGTTGGTATGATGGCCTGTATATCATAGAAAAATTTGGTCAACGTTAATCAACTAATGCTCGTCATGACACATGCATTACATGTTGTTTAACATTAGGGACTCAGATCTCAGCAATTAAAACAAATTTTGTTATTTTAAAAAATTGTCTCTATCACTTGATATAGTCTCAAGAGATCAGTGCAATTGATTTATTCTGATCACTTTTAATATTGGCTTATTTTCATCACTTTATAAATTTTATATACAATTTAATTTATTTATTAAATAATTTTATTTGAATATTATAAATTTAAATTTTACTTTTATACTAAAATTTATTATTTTATAAATATATTATAAATTGACAATTAATAATTTATAATATTTAATTCAGTAAAAATTAAAATTTAATTTATTAATATATTTGTGTAAATACAATAATTAAATTAAATTTCGTTTCAATAAATAATTATTTATCAAAATAAAATGAATATTTTATAATAATAAAATTCTTTTAATTAAAATAATTACAGCAGCTAAAAATTTTCACTTAATTTTTTAATATTTTGATAAAACTGATATTTTTTAAATGCAGTGTGGGAGAAGAAGGGATGAAGAAGCAAGGAGGGAGGAGCTGATGGCATGACGTTGTGATTGGCAGTGGACCTTCCACGTCATCAGGGTGAGTTGTGGTTCCGATTATTAAAGTCACGTCACGTGGTCACCATGGGACCAGAGCTTAATCATTGGTTCAACTCCTGCCACGTCATCCCACCCGAGACCCTCTTGCCACCTTAACTTGCTCACATATTTCCATGAATTTCACCCAAAAGAATTATTTATTTATAAATAAATAGAAAAAGAACAATTCAGTGCATCTGCAGAGTGTAGTGAATTCAAAGAGAAGGCAAACTACACGTATAACCTGTTGTTATGGGCTTCTGTCATGTAAACAATCTATTCTTTTTTTTTTTTTTTTTTTAAATACCTTTTAAAAAAAATGTTGCAGAAACCGCCATGCCTTGCAACTAATTCTGCATCAATATATGATATTTATGTCATCTGGGTATTTGTCACGGTCTCAGTTCCTATAAAATTGCCAGAAGAAACTACAAAAGAGTCCATCAAATTCACAGATAAGAACAAGCAAATCATACATCACCATCGCGATGACCGTCATAACATCGAAAGAAATAAAGAAAAAGAAACAAGAAACTGACTCTTGAAACCTGTCCTTGCACTAGTAAACATACAAACACAATGGAATGATATCTATTCTGTTCCCTGACAGAGGATGCACATGATCTATTTTAATGTAACCTATAAAAGAAGTCTTCCTACTGGCTGTAAACTGTCAAAATAAGATCCTGCAATTGCTTCTCAATATAGTTGTGATACATATTGACAACCATTTGGCTCCTATTGATACTGTATTCTCCCTGCACCCCCACTAACATGTTAAAAAAGAAAACGAGAGGTCCTTGCCAACCTATCAGCCTTGGTCATGCTTCTTATGCCGGCACCTTCCATATAGATTAAAAGCTAGCTTTTGGATATTTACTCAAGAAATGATGGTTTAATATTAGACGTACCTTTATAATGTGTATACCCGTCTGACTCTTTATCTTCTTTTCTTTTTAGTCCTTTCGCATAAACACAGTGAAATCAAAATCAGAAGGGAGATCGTCTTCAGAGTCCGAGGAACTGGAACTATCATCACTATCACTGAGCCCATCGAGTAGAAGGTTCCTGTTTTCAATATCGATCCTCAAACTATTTTCACATGGTCTCATAATTGCTGAATCCTGCCTTTGTGGAATAAAAAATCTTTCAGTGTTATTGCTTCCAGAAAGAACAGACACTTTATGTCTCTTCACACAATTGTCATCATCAATCCCATTCTCATCTATCTGCTGACATGGATCGTCTTTTCTTTTTAGCATTCCAGTCCCATTTTCTACAGCTATCTCATCTGAAATTGCCTCTTCTGCAAGGCCTTGTAAATTCTTTTCTTTTCCGCCCATAGTTCCTTCAGTGGAAGAGTAATCATCACTATCTATAATCTCAAAAATGCTTGGAGGTGAATGTCTCTCTGTAGCTGGCATGGAACAAATACTTTCAGTATAATAAATGTCATAAGAAAATCGT